CAGACAGAATATACTGGATTTTGTAGTTCCACACTGCAGAGGCACAGTTTGTTTTCTGTATACCCAAGTCCAGGTTGACGTTCCCCTCCACTTAGACCTCTTGTTAAAAAAAATAAATAAATAATATAGTGTATACAAAGCGGATCTTAGGTGTCTTCCAGCCTGTCACATGACAAAGAAAAGGGCAGCACTGGAGGGTAGAGTATGCCAAGAAGAAGGAATCAACACACTACCATCCTATGACATTCAAAAGGGTGCAGGCTTGACATGTACACCTGTCGTGAAGGAAGGGGGTAAGCAGGGGATAAAACCAGGCAAGGGCCAGTCAGAAGGGTTGAAATCCATTTCATGTATCTATGTAAACCCATACTCCCTGCCATATGAACCTGCAGAATGAGGCCCAGATTCATGACACATCCCCACACTATGCACACAACACCTCAAAATACAGGCTCAGGACATTCATGGACCACACCTCTACCCCGAGGCTGCATATCACTCTAAACCTCATAGAAACATAGAAGAATAACCACTGAAACACCGCCAAGTGGTCCATCAAGTCTTGTTTTGAGTTATATACAGTATGTTTTTGTTGTTTTTTTTTTGAGTATAGATTTATGTTTGTCCCAAGCATGTCTGAATCCACTTACAGTTTACAGACTCACTACCTCTACTGGAAGTCTATTCCAAGCATCAACTACTCTTTTTCGGTAAATTAATACTTTCTAACATTAGTTTTGAACTTTCTGCTAGTTTGAGATCATGTCCCCGTTTTCTTGGTCTGTTTCATATTAAAACCCCTGCACTACTGAACCTTATTCACCCCTCGATGCATTTAAAGGTTTCAATCAGGTCTCCCCTTTTCCTTCTTTCCTCCAGACTGTACGTTTTATGTACCTGAAGTCTCTCCTGACATTTCACCATTTTTGAACGTTTTATTCCTCTGACATTTCACCATTTTTGTTACCCATCTCTGGCTTCTATCTCAATAATATCTTTTTGTAAGTGAGGTCTCTAGAACTGGACACAGTACTCTAAAAATGATATCCAACTAAAAATCTATATAGAGAAATCAGGACCTCTTTCCTCCTGATGGTGACCCCACTAGTGACCCATCCTACAATTCTATTCAGTTTTCCCACTGCTTGCGAATTTTGCAATAATTTGAAATAAGTACCCCTGAATCTTTTTCCTCTGTATTGCTGGCCAGTGTTGTACCCCAATGTTGTACTCTGTTAGGTGATTCTTTTCCCCTAGGTGCAATATTTTACATTTAGAAACATTTAACTGCAGTTTTCACTGCTTTGAACAATTTTCCAGCAATACCAAATCATGTTCCATGTTACAGACACCACCTCCAGAGATATTAACCATATTACACACCTTTGTATCATCAGCAAAAGGACATACCTTACCCACCAAACCTTTAGTTAGATCACAGATTAAGAAGAACAGGACCTAGTACAGAGCCTTGTGGTACTTCCAAGTGACAAAACCTGTCATCACCCATTCCTTGCAGGCCAAGATAACTGAGATCTACTCTTTTCCTTGTAATTTCAAACAGGGCACACTGCTTCTAGTATTGCAGGATTTCATCTTCTATAGTATATAAAACTGAATAACTATTGTGTATGCAGTCACTTTCTGGTTGTCAGGCGTGCACACACTGAAATCCCATTGCTTATGCACGTACATGAGCAAAAACACGAATGAAAAACTTAACTAAATGTGTGTACTAACACACCAGTGCATGTGACAACGTTAACCTAAGGATGCCTCCAAGTCAAGTGCATTTAACATTCCATTACAGAGCTAAAGCTTGTTGCTGACCTAGGCTTTCTCTGACATCTGATAACTTGGTGTTCCTGTTTCACCCTGGCTTGTTTTTGACATTTGGTGAACTCTTAAGGTTCTGTGCACACACTTGGCCACTACTCTCTGTTGGCAGCTTGCAGATTCCTATTCTTGCTGACTTACTGCTGACCTCTGGAATGTCTTCCATTCTTTACTATAAGCCTGCTGAACTAGAACTGACTAGGGACGCTCCTGCAAGCTGGAGGCCAAGTAGTTAGCATTGCAGCATTGTGATCCTTGATTCGATGCCCACAAGTCTGCCTGTGTTTTTTTGGCTTTGTACTGGGATATTTAATACAAAAACAATCTGGAAAGTTAAAAGGAATCTAGACCAAACCAGTCCAGGAGTTATGTATGCAACTGTAAAATGCAGTAGATACCTGGGATTTTAAAATCCTTCTGAGGATTTGACTCTTGTTAATGGTTCTATATACACTATACTGCCAAAAGTATTGGGACCAGGGGCGTGTTTGCCACAAGGCAAACAAGGCGTTGGCCTAGGGCAGCACTTTTCAGGGGGGCAGAAGGGACACTTAGGACAGGGGCTGCTGTGTCTTACCTGTGTCCACGACTGTATCCCACTTCGATCCGGTCCACGAGGCACTGCTGGAGGAGGGGTAGAGAGGTTGTCCGGTCTCTTCATTTCCCTGGATCTTGGATAGTGATGTGGGCGGGTTGACATGCTGGCACTGTTATCTGGCCACACCCCCAAAATAACTGGGTAGCCTATGGCAGCCTGTCCCTTCCCTTCCTCTGCAAGCCCCACCTCCTCAGCGGTGATTGGCTGTCAGACCTGTAGCTCAGGGAAAAACACACAGGCAGAGAGGAGGAGCCGAGCGGCAGCGCGAAGATAAAAGAAGCTGCGGGACCGGCCGGAGCCGGTGAAGAGGAGAGCGGCCAGAGAAGGAAGACAGCTGATCAGTAAGGTAAGTGTCTGTGTCGGGCCCGGTAAGGTAAGTGTGGTAGGAATAGTTCTCCATCATAGGTGTCACTGACACCAATGACTGAACACTCTTCCTCCCGCACTGACACCAGTGATGGGGCACTCTTCCTCCCGCACTGACACCAGTGATGGGGCACTATTCTTCCACTGACACCAATCCTCCAAATGACACCGATAATGGAGTAAAATAAGAAGGTGGAGCTCTAATATGAAGAGGTGGCGCCTAAAAAGGAAGGGTGGAGTTTACAGATGAAGGAGTGGATCTTAAACAGGAAGGGGTGGGACACATTAAGATGCGGGGGGCAGATTTTAGTCTTACATAGGGTAGCACAAAACCATCATTCCAGAACACACGTCTCCACTGCTCTAGAGTCCAGTGGCAGCGTGCTTTATACCACTGCTTCCGATGCATTGCACTTGGGGATTTAAGGCTTGGATGTAGCTGCTCGACCATGGAAACCCATTCCATGAAGCTCTCTATGCACTGTTGTGCTAATCTGAAGGCCACATGAAGTTTGGAGGTTTTTAGCTATTGATTCTGCAGACAGTTGGTGACTTCTGCGCACTGTACGCTTCAGCATGCGCTGACCCCGCTCTGTAATTTTACATGGCCTACTACATCATGGCTGAGTTGCTGTTGTTCCCAGTTGCTTCCACTTTGTTACAATACCACTAACAATTGACCGTGGAATATTTAGTAGCAAGGAAATTTCATGGATGGACTTATTGCACAGATGGAAACCTATCACGGTACCACGCTTGAATTTACTGAGCTCCTGAGAGCAACCTATTCTTTCATAAATGTTTGTAGAAGCAGTCTGCATGCCTAGGGGCTTGATTTTATACACCTGTGGCCATGGAGGGGATTGTAAAACCTGAATTCAATGACTTGGAGGGGTGTCCCAATTCTTTTGGCAATATAGTGTATGTACTTATGTAACATGCAGTGTAATATGTCAAAGCTTTATCAATATAGGAAATAGAATATGAAAACACTGCTTATAAGTAGCCTGGCCTACATTTCTTCCAATTTCTAACTTTATGACCAAAGTTGAAATAGTGAATAGGGAAAAACAGATATAGGAATTTTACCAGCTAGTGCAAAGTGCCTTCACTGCTTTCCTCTAGTAAAAATAATAGAGGATATTCAGTACAGGGTTGGGTAAATTCTTGGTGAAATTTCCAATGAAAATACAGGAACAAAAATATACCTACAGAACAGCTTTACCTGGATTATCTGACTTTTAATGCTTGCACCTTTAACTGCCACCAACAAGGCAACTTTCCCCCCTCCTCACCTTGTTTCCCAGGCTTGGGACTGGTATAGCAGTCCAGCGAACATCTCTTTTCCAATCTTCCCTAGCTAAAAAATAACCCAGGAGGCAACAAGCATTATGTCCCTTCGGATTTAAAATGTCACTTTCCCTGGCTTTCAGATGAAGGTGACCCAGAAGTTGTACAACTGTTGGATTGCTTCCATGGATGCCTGGAACGGGATGATGTCTCAGTATAGAGAACCTGTCATAGCAAAATTATGACAAATGCGTGTCAACTCCCTATGTGATAGCAATAAAATTAAGTGAAAAAAAAAAAAAAAAGTTTCATAAATTGAATTTACACCCATGCACTTATGAACACAGACCCACGTCCCAGAGACGCCTACGTACAAAACGCTGATTGCACTACATATTTTAGGTATCGTTGTGCACACCAGAGTGACAACCATAAATGGTGTCCTTAGAATTGTTGCTCTCTGAACTGCTGTAGGCTATTTTAAAATTGGTGTTGATGGAAAACATGGTCAACAGGCTTGACATGTTTGGTATCTATTTACAAGTTCCTGTTTTGTGTTTCACTAAAAAAATGGGTCAATATATTGTTGTGTGCACCAAAAGGTTGTCTAAAAAATTGGAGCTCCAGGGTACTCATTTTCATTAAATGTTTGGGAGCTTTACCTAATCTTCAGGCCTATAATGTGTAACAGATCTGGCAGCAAAAGGGTTACTAAAAAGGAATACATAGATTGCCTAGAGCAGGCAAAAGTGTTAAATGTTTTTTTCTAATTGGAAATATACAGTTTATTTTAAATTTTGGTTGGTTTTTTAACACACATTCACTTATATCTGCAAAGGCAAGTTTTTAATCAATCTGTAAATATACACAGCTAAAGAGACAGTACTGTAAATTAATTATTGGTCATTACCTTCCCACCGGACAATTTTTTGGCACTTTCAAAGAGTTCATCAATGTGTGAAGTGAAGGACATAAAATCTGGAATGACAAATTTCCTTCGAAATGCTTGTGTGAGCAGAACAATGTTGCTTTGTACACACCTGAGAAAAAGCAAACAGATTAAACTATGTGGCATTTAAACAACTAAATGTCAACTACAAAAATACTATTATCTTAAGGAAAAGCTATTACCATCTCTCAGGATATAAACAAAGATCTACAAGTGTTAAACTGACAATACACTGTAAGATATCCGGCAGGGCTGAATGAAAAAGCTAAACAGTGTGGGTGGAGGTATTTTCCCCCCCCATTGAATACCTGAACAGCGGCTGTATCAGACTGGATGCAGCCACTGCTGGACTGGCAATTTTCCAACCTGCTCTTTTGATTTTCAGATCTAGGTACATTACCTGGTAGAATGTTTACAAGGACACCCATGGCTTGATTTGCGTCCAGGTCACCAGAAAGCTGCTGAAATTTGCTCCATGTATGGTTGACTTTAGAATAAATCTGCTGAGGCTAAGTAGTGAATGATCGCTAAACAGATGTAAAGAAAAAACCTCTATGGTGTAAACCAAACACGTAGCAGGAGTAAGGCCTGGTTCACACCTATTTTTTTTGGTACTTTCTGCATAAATGCACTATAGTCCATTTAACATGGTTTCCTATAGGACACGTTCACATCTATGCTTTTTTCAGCCACTGCGTTATTGGAAAGGGTAAGGAACTTTTTAAAATGCAAAATGGTGCATTTCTGGTTTAATAGACTTCAATAGAGACTCTGTAGAAACACATTTAGTGCGTTTTGTATGCATTTAGCATTTTTTATTCTGCCTAACAAAATGATCCCCCAAAAAACCATAAAAATAAAATGCATAAAAACATGTGTGAAAAAACTCAAAATGCACCGCATAAAGCACTCCAGAACCAGATCAATCGCAAACTGCAGGCCTAAAGATCAATCCCACACAACTGCAGTATTGTCTGATCATGGGTGATTAATCACGAATACATGTTGCCTGTGTATGAAATGGCCTGTCCTGCTCCTGGTGACCTAGCAAAACCAAAAGTACACCTATATATCAATTTTAGTCTTTGAAAAAAAAAAAAAAAAAAAAAAAAAAAAAAAAAAAAAAAAAAAAAAATCGGTCATACACTAATCAAAATTCAGCCGATTCAGAAAAACTGACCAAATTCCGATCAGTGTTTGGCTGTCCCTCCTCGACAGACATTAATTGTTTGTAGTGCTGGGCTGAACACCCACGTGTTCAGTTTGCAGTTGATCATTCAAACCTAATGAATGTTCGACCGCGAACTTCATGCAAGTCTATGAGACTCGACCATGTAAAATTCAAATGTGCCCATTTTGAAGGCTTATATGCAAGTTATTGGCCATAGAAGGAGTGTGCCCTGAGGGACATGAAAAAAAAGTCCTTTAAAATATCATGCTTGGGGGGGCCTTAAACTACCTGCAAAGTTGCACATCTGTACAATATATAGAACCTGCAGCAGGACATTTTTTTATTTAAAAAAAATGTAATTTAAAAAAAAAAAAAAAAAAAAACACAGCGTAGACTTTTAAGGGGAACCCCAAAAATGGGGAGGGGGAAGTGTATGGGGTTGCCCTTTAGGCCTGGTAGGACTTTTAAGTGGAATCTCACACCCAAAAAATGAGGGGGGCCCTATAAATTCCTACCAGACTCTTGATCAGAGCACAGAACAGGAAAGGGGAGGGAACCAAATGTGCCCCCCCACCCCATGTGGCTTACCAGGCCACATGCCCCCAGCACTGGGATGGTGTCCCCATGCCGATGGGAACAGGGGCCTCTTCCCTGCAACCCTTTCCCGGTGGTTGTGTCTGTGGGCAGGGGAGCTCATTAGCATCAAAGTTTTTGACAAGTCCTTTATTAAGTCTGCAAATACTTACCTCTGCTCCAGCTTGTCCCTGGCTTCATGTGTCTTGATTGGCCAGCATAGAATGATGTAACTTTTGCACATGCGAGTTCATTTATCCTGACACGGAGGCATGCAAAGCATGTACACGGAGTTGCGCACGTGCAGTTCAGTTCTAAAGTAATTGCAAAACAGCCAGGTAAATTTGTATTCTTGCAGAAGCAACATATGCCTTTCTGTAATAAAAAGTTTCATTTTTAGTGACCAAGTGACTTCCGTGGGCAAAAGATGCTGGTATTATGTTCCCAACGCTCATTAGTTTTGAAGAAGCTACTTGGATGAGTATTGAAAGGTCTTGAAAACTACAGAACAAGTCTAGTTGAATTTGACTTGAAATCTACAACTAGATATTTACAGGACTGTTTAACAATTAAATTGAACCAGGAGAAATTCTGAGCTATATAAAATTAAGAAAATAACTGCAATCATTGTAAGATGTCTAAAAATATGATCTAAAGATCACAAAATGACCCTTACTTTTTGAAGAGTTCCTTGTCGAGCATTACACCATCAGATGTAGTCTGTAGAGACAGCCTTAGCATATCCATACATTCTTTCAGCCTTGGATCAGATGTGCGCAGCCCGGTAGCCTTTAGTGCCTGCAAAACACAACACCATTTACCATAAAACAATTTTATAGTGAGCATACATTTCTGATTCTATAGCCCAAATTTTTCACAGGACTAATCCAATTCTTGGAGTTTCTAAATGGCGTGCCTTAGAAAAGGCACAGCTTACATTATTATGGGTGTGATTTATTAAACTTTTACAGGTTATATAGTTACTTCTTTCATAATTCAACTCTGAATTTTAAATAAATATAAAATACACAAATTAATGCAATGTTGTGTTTATTAATACATTATTAAAAATATTTTTTTTATGCAAGCAGTGTTTGCACCTTAATGTGACTTGTATCAGTATCTTGCAAATCAAGTACATCAGAAGTGGGAAAGGGAGAAGTAACAAGAACTAGTGGTGCACTGAAATTAAAAATTCTGGTACCAAAACCAAAACTTCAAGGACCGATATATCGGTGCATCCCTAACAAGAACCCAATCAGTGTATGTGCTGACAAGAACCATGCTGATAGGAACATAAGTGGCAGAGACCTTGATGCATGTTCCAATCAGCTGGAAATAAAACAGTGGTTAGCAATGGCAGCTTGCTCGTTTTGCTTATTACAGGTTTCCTTTGCCTAGGGATAATTAGGGGAAAAACTAATTTCTATAAACTTGCCCTTTTACATTTTTGTGAACTTTAACTAGAAAATTAAGAAAATGCCCAGTCATAAGTAGCAGACATTTGTCTTTGCTAATAATCAGAGACCAGGTCAACCAGACCACTTTTAAATTGAAAACCTTGCAGCTGTAGAAGAGAACATTTGCATGTTCCCCGCTTTTAGGAAAAAAAAAAAAACCTCCAGTTTTGTGACCCGTGTAACTTTAGTAAGAATCAAATTACTTCCTGAAAGGGTTAATTTCTCTTTGTACCAACCCCTACCCAATCTGCACAGCTAGCATACTTGTAGGCAAACACTAGTATTTCAGGAAGGATCAGTGAGTGGTATCTGTGCACCCATAAAGTAATTCAGCAGAAGTGTCAGTTGTAGCAGTCATTTGTGCATAAAAATGTAAACAAAAGCAGGAGCTGACTGTAATATTTGCAGAGAGTAGAAATATCACTGCTGCCATTATTCAGAACCAAGATTTGCCAGTGTGTGCAAGCTCCTACTATCAGCCTCTTCACTCATCAGAAAAATGATAGACTGTTCAGTAAAGCTGGCCACACACACTACACAGCTGAACAAAAGATATCTGGCTATTGTATTCTAACAGCCAGCACCTGCGGATGTGAGAATACCCAAACAGTGGCTGCATCTTGCAGTTGCCATTGAATGCAGGTGTTGTTTGACTTACAATTTTCAACCCTGCCCCTTTGATTTACAGAGCAAAAGATCTTGGGTAAGTGGATGCTGAAAGGGCCACCTACAGCTATAATTTTGGCCAGTTTACCATTTACTCTGCATATGCCGAGCAAACAGATTAAAAAAAAAAAAAAAAAAAAAAAAAAAAAATGATAGCAGGAAATACTACAGATTGTCATTTGAATGAACGCTTTCACTGCCAAACCCATACAGCCCTACAGCACTGATTCCAGCAAGCCAGGTCACTTCAGGGACCATGAACTTATAGCAGAAATGTTCAGCAGACTCTGCTGAAGAAAATAGATCTGATTAGCGGGCCAACAAGCCACTGATCAGAACTATTCCCCTTAAAACACAGTAGCACCTACTTTTTATTCTACTGGTCATGTGCTTTCATAAAATATATGATCTTTTACAAACTCTGAAAGCTGTAAAAGGGAAAAATAAAAAAGCAATGGAAAAATTGCAAAAGTGGTCCGGCCTGCTGAATTTAAAAGTGGAGCGCAGGGCCTGGCAGTGAAAAGGTTAAAGAGTATCAAAAGCCAAGAACAAAAATGAATAATATTGCAGCTTACTGGTTCATAGATGTGGTGGATGCTTCGGTTTCCTTTTTAACACTCTTTTCCTTTATTTTTACCTGGTAATCCAACCATTAACACACTTCCTGTCCTAGGATGACAATCGTACTGTGTCAGGACTGCATAACACCTCCCTCTCTCCTCTATTACAGGGGGAGGTATTTTGTAGTCCATATAGAAAGTAGGAAACAATGCTAACTGATAACAGTCCAGAGGCAGAGTAAAGGAAGCTGTCAGCTCACAAAACTTCTGACTGGATGAAGAGCTATTTTTTTTTGAACAGATACAATAAAAAGGAAGCAAAGAAGAGCAATGTATTGTTAGTATTTACATACAATCTAATACTGTTCTTTCTGGCAGACTGTTTATTACCCTATTATATACTGACACTCAGGTGCAAAGTATTGCCATTCCAATCCTAAGTTTCATAATATTGGGTCGTATGATGAAACTGTACATATGAGACTACACAGAAACACAGGCATTTGTTTTTACTTGCTTCGTTCAAACAGGAGGATTCCTGGGTTTACAGAGTTCACCTTCAGATTAGAATCTCAAATGGCATGCGTGCAGCTAAGGGCGGTTTTATTAGTTTGGGCTGCATACCTTTCATTCATTCAAAAATTCTCCTCTATTTAACCTTGAATTATTTACAGGGTCATTAAAATGCAAGAGAATGTGCATTATTTTAATGTATAAAATGATGGCAATTTTTACATGTCTCCAGCTATTATACAGGATTTATATAGCGCCAACAGTTTGTGCAGCGCTTTACAAACGGAAGGTAGTCATTACAGTTACAATACAATTTGGTACAAGAGGAAACAGAGGGCCCTGCTCATTAGAGCCTACAATCTAGGAATCTAGCTATTTTACACATGTAAATAAAACTGTAAACTATCATCCAATACTACGTCATTAAAGCATCACAAGGGACTTTAATATTATTTGCTCATCAAAACATATCTGTGCTTCAACAGCTCTCATTTTCGATTAGCATCAGAGAAGCATAGACCCAGCTGAAGGAGTTTTTCTATTGATTAGTTCTGGCACTAGACATTCCAGTCTACCCACTTCTAGTTAAAATACAACAGACCATGGCAAAATCCAATAAACTTGAGATGTCAACAAATCATGAAAAAATATATAGGTATGGGATGCAATAAACAGACAGAACATAGTCAGGTGAGTGCCAAAAAATGTTCTGTTTTATGGTTTGATTCCTTGCATTTATTTTTTTTTTCCTTTTAATTTAAAAACTGGCGTGTTGGACAAAGTGATGACCAAGAACCCTAGGACACACCACATTCTGCCTTCTCAGATTCCTCCACAAGTTGATTCCCAATATGTACAGTAAATCCACCACGGACCACGCATCTTCCATAACAAAGAACTAATGGAAGCTTCCATATACATTTGCTAGAAAAGGTTTGAGAAACGTTTGGAAATATTGGCAGTTTTAGGTGAATGGTTCCTAAACTGGACTCTTCTTCAGCTTGGTCACAAAAGCAGGCAAGTACAATCTGTTCAAACTAACATACAGAAAGATGTACAATTATATTAAAAACTTTTTATTAAGAATGTGAAGCCTTGCATACACTACTCTTTGTCCAATCCACAAAATAAGTGCTCTCTATTAAAGCTATTCTATTGTTGAATTTCTTTGACTCTCTTGTCAGTTTCAATTCACTAAGCATAAGCTCATGTGCTATACTTGTCATAACAGTTTGTTTTCAACCATGTGACTGATTTTATGTTCTGGTCAGTCCTCAGTTCTAAAAAGCGTGACCACTACTGCATTGTTAAAGCTTACTGAATGGAGTCTGTTTTGGCATAACTAAGTTTGCCCACTTAAAATTCTCCAGAAAAATTTCTTGATACCTGGTTGACTGAATTGTTCCTTATATAACAATATTTCTTTGATGCCTTAGGGGCATTGATAGATTCTCAAACAATCACTGTCCTTCCACCATGCTTCACAGTTGGGATAAAGCACGTGTGTTGGTGTGCACTACTTTTTTCCTTCAGAGCAGTGATGAGCTCAGGCATGTTCAGATTCCAGCTCAAATCCACCTGAGCAAGCCCGCCAGGAAGCCATAGCCTGTCCGGGTCAATCATATGCGGCTGAAGCAACCGGGATTCCAAAATGCCTGAGCTCATCCCTACTCGAGACATAGCACTGCAAGCTCATGTTTATCCCAAAAGCATTCTGGAATGTCCAGGAGGTGTTTTGCAGACTTGTAGCATTGTTGTTACATGAACATCACTCGTACCCAGTGTTTTTCTTATGTTCACACAAAAAAAATTCTGCGGGTCCTTTGCTGTAACCCCTGGTTTGCTTGTTTTTTTTTTTGGTTTTTAAATGTTTCTTCTTGAATGCTATGTTCCTGTCACAATGTTTCCAGAATACCCCTTCTTAGAGGAAGTACTGTATTTCATCTGTAAATAATTTGTTTTTGCCCTTCACACAGGCAATATGATTAGGTTCACCTGTCAGTTTTTCAGGCAGACCTGGTTGAAAGCTCAGTGTAAGTCTGTGGTTAGGCAGATATAAAATGGACATGCATCCTTTTAACATCTGCTTACCTCTGAGTCCGTCCAGGTCCAAAAACAAAAAACAAACAAAACAAAAAAGTGGAAGGTCTGCATCCTTTTCCATACCCAACATGGCAGTCAGAGGTCGCCAGATGTAAATATATACAAGTCAATTCTCATCTGGACACCGGTTTTTACAATGCAAGCAAAAAAAACTGAACGGGCACGGATGAAAGCAAAAATGCAACATTAGTTTCCCTATGCCCCAATTCAGCACAGGATCATGGACCCCCCCCCCCCCCCCCCACTGATTGGACTGGACAGTTTCCGTGTGAAAGTACTAAACTGTGGATCTATGACCCCTAGGCATTTAGGAATGCTTCTATAATATTATACAGCTTTACGTTTGTCTAAAATTCAATATATTTTGATTCAGATGTGCTTCACATAAAACAGGTGTTTCTTGGGAAAAGCAGGATTGGTCAATAACCACACCTTGTAATCCTGGGGCTTCACTCCTCTCTAGAGAAGGATCCTGGCCCAAATGGGATTTCTTTTT